TTTTTGGAAACCGGTTTTCTAGAGGACCATACTGTAAATCCCTAAGGGCACTTCTCATACTCATATTCGAAATCAGCATGGTTGATAACCTCTATCCCAATAGTTTCTATTAAAAAAGCGATTGAACAGTTGGTGAGGTTCCTTCGTTAGTTCGACTAAACAGTAATTAAACAAAATCTGAATGATATACACGAATACTCCTTTCTTCTATTATTTCCTTCAAATTGCATGAATTTTAGAGCGTTTTTTTAATTCTAGATGAATCGTTTCTTGTACTGGTTCAGACCAATATATTTTACTTCAAATGTATACCAAAATTGAATTGCACTTGAAGCAATTTTAATATAATTCAATTTATTAGGAGCTGTTAATGAACGAATAATCAAAGTTTTTGTTTCTAATAAAAATGAGAACTGCCGTTTAATACAATCTATAATCCTTTTCCGTCCTATTTTGAAGAAAACTATGAGTACAATAGAAAAAATATATCATTGATCAATATTATGAGACTTTTAGATCAAAATAGTATTAAGTATTCTCTGAGTTGTATTCAAAATGTCAGTCATACAACATTAGGTCTAACAAAAGATTCTTCATAAAATGAGATATTGTTGAACTTTATACGATTGTTGATTCTACTTATATTGTAGCTCTAATAAAATAAATAAATCAAGTTTGAATATATTACATTTAGATATTTCGCTCAAAAAAATAGAAAAAGCAAATCGTTGTAAATACAATTAATCAGAAAATGACTTCCTTGAGAAAAAATCTCTCATCTTGATTCGACTGTATATATTAGAAGCGAACTATTAATGTCTTTTTTATATTTTAAAAATAACATCGTATATATTTCAAATATATCGTAGATATAGTATACGTTTTCCTTTTTTCTTTTCTTCGCGTATCTAGTTGTTATTAAAAACATTTCTATGTCCTTCATAAAATATTCTATTGGTTGATTTGTTTCTAACCAATCATTTCAACTTTCTTTACCTCTCTCATGATGTTAATTAAAAATTAATCTCTTAAATGTAATAATTAATGATCTTTTTCTTTATATTCTAAATAGAAAAAAGATTCTTTCGATTATTTTTATTTATTTATTTTATTTCAATTTGTAAACATATGTCATTGATAAAAAGCATTGTTCTTCTTCTTCTGCATTCCCCAGCTGTTACTGTCGAAAGAAAACAAAGAAGAAGAAGAAAAAAAAATCTTGTTTATTCTTTTCTTCTTCCGTCATTGCTTTTCGTTCGTTTGATTACATATAGTGTGATTATTTGACACAAAAAAAAATTATTTTTTTTTCCATCTTTCTTTAAGATATTTATTACCGGTCAATGTTGGATTTATTATTATCAATATGATCCGACACCAAGACCATTTATTATTATTATTTATTAAATATTTCTAATCTTCTTTTTTTTGTTCTTTGTCTTATTAAAAAAAAAACTTAATTCCAAACAATGAGTGCACCTTGTAGTCTTGAACATTGTCATACGAATTTATTTGCTCTGGTAAAATTTTCATAGATAATTTCAATAATATCTATATATTTCGATTTATTTGTTTTTTAGCAAAGTTTAAATGATATGAAATGGAAATGTTTTCGACGAGCATTAAATTATCGTTTAGAACCAAATCATTATAAAGATCCTGTTTTAATTCAATATTGGAATGTATTACGGACTGATACATTATGTGCATGGAGACGTGTTTTAACGGATGATGGACAAAAAACAGAAAAAGAACTTTGGTTATTTGGAATCAATGAAGATTTACCATCGGAATTACCCAATTTAAGACGTAAGAAAAATATTTTGTATTGAAAAAATTGATTTTATTTTGATTTTTTTCAGCTATGCACCAAGCAAATGGATCATGGAGTGAGAATGCTTTATCCTATGATTGTCGATCAATGTTATTTAAAGCATTACATAATATGATTGAAAAGTAAAGATTTAATAATAAAAATAAATTTATTTATCTTTTTTTTGCATTAGATATTTATTATCAAAAGGTTTTGCTCGATTAAATAAATGGTTTGTGTTACCA